GAGAAACCCTTCTACCTTCAGCATCATTCCACCATCTCCAAATCCACTCTCTCTCTTCATACCCAACATTGATTTTCCTTCCTCGGTCATCTCCAACATAGAAGAATACTCCTCCTTCGGCTTCTTCGACCTCCAAATGGGCAACCCCTCCATTAAAGAACTTATCGATATTCTAGAGTTTCATTTAAAGGTAGATAGATGGTCCTTCAAGATCAGGCGTATTTCATCTTCTTCCTTCTTTTTGGAATTCTCTAACAAGGAAATCCTCTCTAAGGCTTGTGAAAAGGAGTTTTTTTTGATATGGGAACGTTTGGTGGAGCCTTCTCTCCCTGGTCTTAGGACAAGGGATTCATATCTCTCCCCAAAGCAGGCTACATTTGGGTCAAAATCCTTGGCCTGCCCCTTCACTTGTGGGATCTTGACTTTCTTATGAAGCTTCTAGAAGAAGTTGAAGAAGTTAGCGCACTATCTGATGATGTATTGCTTAAGACAAATGCCAAAGATTGCAAGGTTATGATTCAAGTTCGGGATCCAAGTGAGATTCCTAGGGATATCAAGTTCAGATACAACTCCCCTGATGATACTCACATCATGGAGGGAAATGTTAAGATCCATATCGTGGGTAAGCTCTTCCGATCCAAAAAGGGCGCTCTGTAATGAGAACTCTTCGAAACATTTGATGTCAGTCAAGAAGGTCAGCCCTATTCTTCATCTATCACGCCGACAAGTCTTTGCCACATTTCGTCAGAGGCTCACAAATCATTGGTAGCAGCTCATTCTAATTATCCTATTCAAGTAGTCCCAGGGGAGCCAGAGGCAGATCCAAAAGGGAAAAAGCCTATGGAGGAAACTCAGGCCCCACCGGAGATTAACCTGGCTCAGCAGCAACAAGCTCTAGATGGCATGGTCCCGATGGAAATGGTTTTTAAAGGGGTCCCTCTTAAGATTACCAAAGAGTCTTGGATCAGGCTCTTCGCAACCTTCCGTAATGTGGAAACAGGAGATCCTGTAGCAGTGCCCTCCAACAACCAGACTCCACAAGTCAACATTTCCAGTTCTTCAGACTCAATGGATATGGTATCATCTTCACCTCCTCCACCAGGGTTCGAACATGTCAAGAAGCCCTCTAAGAAGAAATCCTCCAAAAGCAAGATCTCTCTTCTGCCGCACAACAAACACCTGGCCATTATGAAAAGGAGTTTCCCTCCAGGTGGATCAAAGGGTAAATCTCAAACCTCCTCTGAATTCTCTTCTCCCACTAGATTAGATGAGATGCAGGATATTGCTATCAACTGTGAGATTTTAGAGCCTATTGATCACCAAGAACTTCTTGACATTCACTCATCCGATAGAGTAGGGGACATCAATCCCAAACCCTAATTGGTTTCTCCTAGTTGTAAGTAGTTTTTGTTTTATCCTTATGAAGATAGGAACTTGGAATGTCAGAGGGTTGAACAACCCGACCAAAA